AGGCGCCCCAGCCTGCAGAGCGCTGCCCTGCTCCCCTCAGAGCAGACTGGGCTGGGAGCGCGCAGCGCCTGGCACCTCAGTGCGGAGCAGGGAGATGTGGCTGCTCAACCTCACAAATTAATGTCCTTGATAAGTGTGTGCCCTGTGCCTTCCTTTGTTCCAGAAGCTGCTGTTTAAGGTCATGTGAGTGAGTGGCTTTGCATATCCTCTCTTTCCTAGCACTAGCAGGAGCAGCAGCGTGTGTAATCAACAACCAGGCACTGTCCCCTTCTCTTTTCTTTGTGTGAGCTGCTGTCGCGTTCTCAGTGGACACAACCCTAATTTTTATCTGAAGAACCCTTGAAGTGGCTGTGCTTTAGTGAGCAGAGAATAAAGATCTGTTAAAAAAAATAACAGCGAGTAAGTAGGCATGAAGTGTCTGACCAAAAAAGGCTTGAGCGATCATTTTTACTCCTCAAAATGGAATTTGGCAAGGATGTGCTCTGAACACGCCGCTTTTACCAATGCTCTTACTCCGTTTGTGGAATACAGGAGCTATAATAAACCCCCAGCACTGGTGATTCTGGAGTATCAAGCGATCACGGCAGATCTGGGCTTATTTCGTAGGAAACTCGTTTGGGAGGTGCTGCTCTGGTGGCTGTCACAGCTCTGCTCTGTGCTCCTTTGTCTTCATGAGAGGTTGTTTGCCTTGCGGTCACGTAAACATTTCCCAGCGGGGAGGCCACTGGGATTTCTGCAGGTGCTTCCTCCAAGCTCAGGGGTGTCTACAGCTGAGCCCAAATCCTCATCTCCTGCCCCCTGCACGCATGAGCCGTTCCCCAACAGGGGTGGTGGTTGCCCAGCGTTTGGGGAGGCGATGTGTGCAGAGGTGGCATCGCTTTCCTGAGTTTCTCGTGCTTTTTTGCAGCATAATGTGAAGAAACCTTTTTCTTTTCGTGTAGCTTTACACATCCGCTTGCAATAAGCTCAATAAAACGATTGAGTGGCAGGAATTCGTGGTGGACAGCTTCCAGATGGCAGCCGTCCAGCGCGGCGGGGCTGGGAGCTCTGGGTTTGCTATCGCAGCTCCCGGGAGCGCGCCTTCCTGGCTGCAAAGCCCTCGCGGTGCCAGGTGTGTCCGACAGCCTTGCCCTTCGCCGGGGCCTGCAGATGGAGCTTTGGAGGATGAAGCTGTTTGTCAGACAGCCCTGGGAGCAGCTGCTTACGGTCTTTGTTGCCAGAACTCCTCGGTAGCTCCTCAGTTTGCAACGCCGTCAGTCGATGTTGAGTGCGTCTTCCTGCATGGTCCTGGTGATCACACTGTCATCCCCAAAAAGGCAGCTGACCAGAGCAGGAAGCTGATGGATCTGTGGCACATCGACCCTTGCACAAACAGACTTGGAAGCAGCTCCAGCTCATGCCTGAGCGATGCCTTGGCCATGCCCAGGCTCTGGAGCTGCACAGAGCAGGGTGCCCTTGCTGGGTAAAGAGAGATCTCACAGGGAAATAGGGGTGGATATTTACAGTTTACCACCATGTCATCAGGAAGCAATGCTGCCTCTGTTCTGTCCTGCCATACATCCAGCGTGTTGGAACACAGGAGGTTCCACTTCAATTTGAGCAGAAACCTCTTCTCAGTGAGGGTGACAGAGCCCTGGCCCAGGCTGCCCAGAGAGGTTGTGGAGTCTCCTTCTCTGCAGACATTCAAAACCCGCCTGGACGCCTTCCTGTGTAACCTCATCTGGGTGTTCCTGCTCCGGCAGGGGGATTGGACTGGATGCGCTTTGGAGGTCCCTTCCAATCCCTAACGGTCTGGGATTCTGTGTTCACAGCTTTATTTCCTGACATTGCCTGTCGTTATATGACAGCTCTGACAAGACTGCTACAGTTCAGACCGCGCTGGAAGAGTTGCCTTGCACGTACACAGGTGTTCTGATGGTTTTTTTCCTGTGCAGAGCTCATTGGGGTACAGAGAATTTATTTTCTACATCCCAACTGCATTGGAAAGGACCTGAGGAGCCACAGAGAAATAGGAAGGGTACAAATAGGTCCAGACTCGAGGAGGACGCAGCTCGGGAAGAACGGGACTGGCGCCGTGCTTTGTGGAGTGTGGGTTTCAGTGTGTGTAGGTGGAACAGATCCCATGAATCATAAAAAGGCTTCTTCCCTTTCTGTCTTTCAGATGAGGGACATTTGCTGTCAGCTGAGCTGGTTTGGATATAAATTCTGTCACTTTTCTCTGAAACTCAACATTGCCAAAATGAAAGATTGTGTGATAAAAGCGATGCTGTCTTCAAATCAAGCTCCTGTTAACAGACAGGCAGCCCTCCCCCAGCCCATCGCAAGGCAAATGTTTTATAGGATGAGCAGAAGGAAGCCAGTGGGAAGGCTTTTTGTAGTATAAATTCTGCTGGGTGAAGGTTTGAAAACAGCCCCCTGCTTCCCAGGATCTCCTGTTTGTTGGTTTATCAGGTGCTGGGGAAAGAGCTGCGTTGGAGTGGAAGACGGGAGAAAAACTGGTGGTTATGGCCAGTGGCGTTGCCAAACAGAGGAAGGAGCTTCCTCATCGGTGGTCAGCAAGTGCTTTTTGTGGCTGTTGCCCTGTCCCGGAGTCGGGGCGATGGGGACTGGCGAGGTGGGCGCCTGTTGGAGCAGAGGGTTCGGTGCTTAGCGATGGGTTGTGCTTCTGTGGGAAGACCCCAGCGTGGGTTGTGCTTTTGAAATGAAGCATGGGATGCCCAACACGGCTTCCATTTAATGGATTGTTGGCATTTGTGCATCCTGTTGCAGTGCCTTAAATGTCCCGGTGGGCAGAGCATGTGTGTGACCGGTTCTGTGGCTCAAACGGGCCGAGAGGGCTCCGTCAGTGCCCGATGGGGCGTTTTATTTTGTGCCGTGTTTCAGAGCAACGTGGTCAGTGCTCTCGGGTTACCACGAGATTGCATCATCCGCTGGCCTGTCTTTTTTGGGGAAAAGCCTGGTGAAGTGGCTTGGGCGTTCCCTGCGCTGGCGGTGCGGGTTGACCCTGCAGCTGAACACCCCGCAGCGCTCGCTCCCCTCCTTCCTGGGGGAGAATTGGAGGAGAAAGGTTGGAGCGCTCCTGGCATGACATGAAAGGCAGTTTAATGGTTGAAATTAAACTGGTAATAATAAATTGTAGTAATAACAGGAACAGCGATAATCAAACACGTGAAGTTATACTCGGCTCATACAGCAGTCGCTGGCCCAGCAGTGAGTATTTGATGAGATAAAAAAAACACAGCGAGCACAGCAGCTCCAATGAAAATGTGGTGGTCATGGTGAGCGGGGCAGTGGGAGACCCCAGGAGCAGAACGATGGGCAAAACCCTCCAAAGGTGGTGACTGCTGAGGAAAGAGAGGGCATCCCCAGCAAACTCCCCGTTTGTAGTGAGTGAGGTGGTTACGGGGTGGATAATTCTGCTGGCCATTGGGGCTCCCCCCAGCTTGTGCCCCTGGGTAACTCGGACTGCGAAAACCCTTCATCCCTGCAACCAGGGCTGCCCAAAACTGACCCCAGTGTGTGACCAGCTCTGTTCCCACTAAATCGGTGCTGCAGGCTGTGCAGAAATGCGCTTTCCTGGACAGAAATCGGACCCTGTGACTCTCCCAGCGACACCAGGACGGGTAGGAGCGGTTGGTGCCCCTCGCACCCCAGAGACCCCGGCTGGGGGGGTGGTCCCTGCCCTGGGCCAGGGGTTGCTCTGTTGCTGCTGTTTGAGGGAGAGCCAGGGCACCGCAGTCTGGCGCGGGCGCAGCTCTCCTCGGAGCGCTGTTTCATAAGGAGCCTCTATTGTGTGCCTGGAGCTGCTGGATGAGTGCCTGCGCGTACGCTCTGTTCTGCAGAAAACCACGGTTTCAGCAGTTCTTGTGCGGCCGTAGTTCCTCAAGTTATAACCGTCTGCTCAGCCCACACGGGACGAGCTGAATCAGGCGGTCCAGAGCGTGAGTGCCTCTTAAAAACAGAAACATTACATGAAACGGCTTTAAAGCACTGAGTAATTGGATAAAAGGGAAGGCAGGGGTGGGCGGAGGAAGTCTTGAAGCGAGGGCATGTGTCTTTTTGGTTTGTTTTGACAGGAAATGTAGGTCACCGGCTCAGATGTTGAGCGCCAGAACCTGTGTGGGCACTGCAGTACTCTGTGTGTGTGTGTGTGTGTGTGTGTGTCCTGTGCAGTGCAGGGGTGTTTGTGTCCCGGTTTGGCACCCGAGAGGTGACTCTGACCTCGCAACCCAGGAGTGACAGCCGTGTTTCAGCTCCTCTCCTGGAGTTACCGCTCTTACCAATCCTGAGCCTACAGGAAAAGCAGTCGCAGCAGCAGAGTTGCCTGATGAGTCGTGGGGTTTTTTTACCTCTCTGTGTGCTACGTGTGCATCTTTCTCTTTGGTTCTGCTCATTTTAGTCTTTACAAATGTCCTGATGCAAGAACAAAGCATCTTAACGACTTTCAGTGCATGCATTTCTTATTTACTGTAGCTGCTATTTTTTTCCTCACTCAAAAGACCCAATTAAAAGCTGTTGTGGAAGTCTGCTGGCGTCAGATTCCCTCTTAAAAATAAAATACAGTTTACAAATCTTAGGTAGCATCACAGAAAATGTACTTTAACTGTACATGATGTAAAAAATGTTTGTCCTGGTGCTGCTGCAAGGTTATTTTTATAGCCGTGTGCTTTGACATTGGAGATGTGCTGGTTCCTTCTGCGGCGTCAGAATGCAGCGCGTTTATTTTAGCCCTGACAGAAGCTACGTTTTTGATAGAAACGTGTTCTGGAAATCACTGCAAGTCCTTGTTAGCAGAGCCTGAAGACAGAGTGTAGGTTGGTGACATCACTGGATACCTAAATATACATCACTGACAAGAACTTTGTGCACGTCATTCTGACAACCTCTGCCCACCTCGTCTTTGCACTGCACACAAACACACCCCGGTCTGCAGCGTGAGCCCTGCCTGCCCTCCCAGCTGTATTTATAGTTACAGTTGTGTTTGTGTTTCCTCCTTTCAGATGAAGCTGCAGAACAACATCTCCTATCAGATGGCAGACATCCATCGTCTGAAGGGTAAGGAATCGATGGCCAGATGGGGATTTGGCAGGCTGTGAAGCTGTGTTTTCTGCTTAGCTACTGCAGAATGCATTTGAAATGAACGACCGGGTGATGCTGGACGTGGCATCGTGTGAAATTTCTTTGTATTCGTTTCTGACCGGGTCTGGGTAGGGGTAGGGTTGGCTCTGCTGCCTGCAGAACATGGTGCATTCTGGCACTGCTGACTTCAAGGTACTCCAGTCGTTTTCATGACCAGATGCAGCCTTCAGTGTAGTCTGGGTCAGCAGCACTGTGATCCTTACGCTGGGTTAGAAAAGGTCCAGAAAGCATCTTGTAAGGCTGTTACGTACAGATGTGATTACAACGCCTGTGGTGTTACTGCACGGGCTTCAGAGCGACCTGGAGCAGCTGATGGCAGCGCTTGGACGTGGCCTTTCTGCCTGCAACTCGAGAGGAAGGAATTAACAATTATCTGTAGCCTGAGGAGCAGGGAGAAGAAGTTCCAGAACAAACAGGACAGGAAATAGGGATTGGGTTTGTGGACGGTGTGACAGTGCCTTCTTTTGTGCGCTTATTGCAGGAAAAGCGTATTTGATCGTTGTGCCTGAAGGAACCCAGTACTTGTGTGTGACTCACAGCAACAGAATCTTTCAGGAAATTAAGGAGATTTCCAGCAGATAGGTGCAGTAGCATTGTGTAAGTCTTCTGAAGGGAAAGGTACAGAAAGATTTAGGGAGTTTGGCGTGGCGTCAGCAGAATTGTTCTGCAATTCATAGTGACATCTGGCAGCCAGGAGTTAATTGGCATCTTCTTCAAGTTAGTTTAAGAATCTTTAGGGCATATCTGGAAGAAAAATACACCAAGCTTGAGCAAATTTGTGCCTTGCGTGACAGTACTGAAAGTCGTATCTACCATGGCGTTTTCACATTGCTGCATTCACGTTGCTTTTTGCTTTGTGGCGTAGAGCAACTGGCAGAACTGCGTCAGGAGTTCATTCGCCAGGAGGATCAGCTGCACGAGTACAAGAAGAACAACACTTACCTCGCCAGGAGGCTGGAGTATGACAGGTATGGGGGTAACTGTTTGCGTGGAAGTCTGTATTTATTAAAAAGTGAGAATTCATCCTGTTTCTGCTCATCCGCAGACTCGAGTGCACCCTCTTAGTGCTGATTTCGTTAGTTGTTTCGTTTTCAACTTCTGTTTTTCGTGGTGTTCTGCTCCCCCCACACCTGCCAAAGTGAGAGATAATCTAAGAGAAGTCTGACTTACTGGCATTGCTCAGCATTGGACCATTCGATGCTTTTATTTATGACATGGAGATCTTAGTCAACAAATACCTGGAAGCATTGAATTGACACTGTTCTGCAAGCTGCCAGGATTGCTCATTACTCTCTTTCTGAAAGTGTAATTTCATTGTTTTCAACTGGAGTGGAAAGCATTGCGTGGATTGAACTTTTAAGTTGCCCTCAGCTTTTTCAGTTTATGATGGAGAAGCAGGGAGAGCAACTGCTCGTGAAGCTGTGAGCATGAGGGAGGTGAATGCTTGAGAGAAGCCTGAAACATTCATGCACTGAAAATATTCTTTGTGCTACGTTGAGTGCCTGTGGGAGCCAAGACCTTTGCTGGTTTGGGATGATCTGTGTGGGACACGCAGTGGAGTCGTTCAGCTCCGTCTGTGGGGCTGGGAGCAGGAGCTGCTGCAGCCGTCGTGCGTCCCCTGTGCTGACAGCCACGGGAGATGTGCAGCTTTCCCAGCAGGATTGGTGTGTGCTGGGGACAGAGTAACTGCAAACCGTGGCGCCTTGGTTGCTTTCCACTTTGCATGCATTTCACTGTTTCTCTGCTCTGTATTTCCCAGTTGTGCTTGCTTTCTGTATTCAGTCCATTTCCACTCCACACACGTTCCAGCATGAGGCTTGTTGGACAGACTGTTCTAGTGATAGCTCAGGTTGGGCTTTTTGTGCCCCTTCATTTCTTCCCCCCTCGGGAAAGCAGGTACAGCAAGTGAAATATAACTAATAATGTGTTTCTTATCAAGCCTGCAGTGTGGGGAGCAGATCAAGGAGATGAGACTGCAACACGAAGAAAACGTAAAGGAGTTAATGGACCGAGTTGCACGGGAACAAAAGGTAACGCACAGCTGAGTTCGCTGAATTACAGGAGCTCAAAGTCTGCTGTTTGCTTCACTCACCATTTCAGATACGTGGAGGCCTTGGACACTTCTCCCCTAATGTTTCATTAAATATCATCCCAAACAGCCCTAAAGATGGTGTTAGTGTGGGAACACCTGCCTGGCTTGCTCTGCTGCAGCCTTCCTGCGTGACACGGCTGAGGATTTCGGTCTTCTCTGTGAAATGGGTGTTACTTTATAGCTCTCCAGGGCAGGATCCGTGTTCTTACCACCTTGTATGGGCTATTGCAAAGGGGAACCTGATCTCTGTTGAGGCCAGGAGGTGCTAATGTGATGCGAATAACAATGGTATTTGAATGGTATCAGGGGTTTAATTACGTGCTGCAAGCTGCCAGCAGAATATGGCCCTCTTTCCTACAGACAGATGAGATTACTTGCTTTTCTTAGAATGTCATGGCCTTTGTTTACAGACATTTCAAACAGTAAGGGAAACTTAGTGGAGATTTTGGTCAGATCTTTTCTTACAATCCAGAATTGTTTCAAAGCCTCTGACCTGAGGCTTAAGGCCAATGGTGTCTTAACTTGATGGTGTTATACGCCAATATAAATGCCAATATAAATGTCGTACAGCCGTGCTGTATTCTACATTTTCTGTTCAGCTGTGTGTCCATACTCACATCTCCTACCCTCAGGACTCAGGGTTGTGTATAGAACATTGTAGAGAGAACAAAAGTTAGTCACAAAGTCCAAGTCCTGTACACCACGCAGCTGCATGCCTGAAACTCAGCGTGAAACTCAGCGCTGGGGAGGTGGCAACCATCACTGGATCCGTATCTGGTGTTATCGGGATGCCTGGAGGAGTGGGACATGAGGTGGAGTCCAGTCCCCCATGTCTTTCTGCCCCAAACAAAGGAGCCATCACCTCTACCCATGGAGGTGTGAATTAACGGACTTTGTGGCATTAACATAACTGATAAGGTTGTCTGTAGTCATCCCCAGCCGCAGGTATGCCCGGTGATGTCATGCAGAAATTTGAGTGATAGCTAAAGATAACAAAAGACAAACACCCCAGGTGGTCTGATCCACTCAGGCACCCTCCTGCCTGCTGTCCTGAACATCAGGGAATGAAACCCCTAAGATTCCTGCTAGAAATGGGGAGTTACTTCTCCAGCCATGGAGTGATGAGAACCTTCCCCTTGGTCGCAATGCTGGCCAAGGTAACTTATGTGGGAGCCCTTACCTGGGGTCACAGGACGAACTCAGATCCACACCAATAAACTGGATAGATTGACAAATTCTCTCCCTCTCCATCCCCACCACTCAGGTCACCTTGTGGGTGAGATTTCCTCCTCAGGTTCATACTCCCTGACTGTATTTGATATTTTCCTCCTCAGGTTCATACTCCCTGAGTGTATTTGATAGATCTCCTCAGGTTCATTTCTAGGTGTCCCTGAGCATACTCTTGGTTTTGCTCCACTGTATTTCCATTTGAACAGACTTGTTCATTTGCCAGGCAGCCAGGCTTACTGCGAGCAAGTTGTTGTTGTTAGTGTTTGTGTTTCGTAGTGCGTTGTTGTTGGTATTATGTCAGTTATACAACCTTTACTGTACCTGTAGCTTTTCAGTTTATCACCTGCAATCCAAAAGAACCTGCAAATGCTGCTGTAAATAAATGATTACTGTTTGTTCCCCGACTTGTTCTGTCGCATGTTCGGTGCTGGCCTCGCAAGACCAGATTTGTTTCCCTGTTTTCCACAACAAAGACTTCTGCTGCTGTTTGCTTTGGTGATCACCTAACTCATAAATGCAATTTTGCTTACCCAAAGTAATCTTGAGCGGGTTGTTTTGTAACTTTCAGTGATTTACTTAGTATTGGTTTCTTACAAATGTGTTCTAACAGGCCACACAGAAAATTCAGTCCAGTAAAGGCACTGAAGTAAGCCCCAATAACGATGAGCAGGCAATATCCAAGACTGTTCCAGAGGCAGAAGATAAAAACCCAGTCAAGAATGAGCAGCCTTCGGATCGTGCTGTAAATGGCAAAGGTATTTCCTTCTTTTTGTCATTTCTGATAGAGAAGGGGCCGGTTGTGTTGTACCCGTTGCTGTTGTTCAGAATCACGCACTTCTCTGAAGTAGAATGGTGAATTATTTGGCCCAGGTAGCTTTATTAACATAGTGCAATCACACAGCGCTGGAGTGCATTCCAGAGACTGGCGTGTCCTTTCTCCGTGCCCTTCCATGAAAGCAGTTCCTTGCGTGGTTTTGTGCTCCCTTAGTTGGTTTGTTGGGCTTCTCCTTCCTCAGTGGCCAGTTGTGAACTGGGGGTTGCCTCTCCGCTCCGTGAGATGTCTTGGGGTGGCTGGGGAAGGGCGAGTTGCTGGGAGCTGGAATTTGCCCAGAGGAGGTGGCTGGAGCTGAGGAGCAGTGAAACCGCAGTGAGGAATAGCAGGAACAGGGGGGACCTTTGGTGCTCAGGAGCTGTAGGGGAGGCTCAGTGAGTAACCACTGCTGCTGTTTCCTCCCTGTAGGTCTCTGAAAGGCAGATGGGTTCGCTTTGTTTCTACTTCTTGTGCTGCTGAATCAGCACCTTTTGGTATCAGTTCAGTGTCTGTTCCGCCTTCTTGCAGCAGGCTTTGCTTACTCTGCTACCCTGAGCAGTGCATCTGTTTCCCATCCTTTTCTGAGGATTGCACTGACTTTGAGAGCACTGCTCCAGAGCACTCTTCAGGGACTCCAGCAGTACAATATGAGCAGTGTTGTGGTTGCATTGTCAATATGGGACATGTTGTGCGGATAAAGGGCCTTTCTTATGGTCTTGGAGCCTCCCACAAGAGGGAAATTCACTGCTGAAACTTAAAGGTTAATAAGGCAGAATATCCTGTTCTTGTCTTGCAGAGAAAATCAAGCCAGGAGGAGATGCAGGCATGCCTGAACTAGAAGATAATGACCCTGCTAAAGCTGAAGATACTCCCACTGGTTAGGAGAAGTATTCTAATACTTCCACATTTGGGTTCTCTGTGGTGTGTATGTTCTGCCTGGGTGCCGTGTGTGTGGTGGGGTTTAACCCCAGCCGACAGCTCAGCACCACGAAGCTGCTTTCTCACTGCCCCTCGTGTGAGGGGGGAGAGAATCGGAAAAGCGAGAACTCGTGGGTTGAGGTAAAGGCAGTTTATTGGGTACAGCAAAACAAGGAATTAATTCACCACTTCCCATCCATGGGCAGCTGTGCAGCCATCTCCAGCATGTAATGGTTACTTGGGAAGACAAAACGCCCTAACTCTGGATATCTCCCCTACAGCAAAACCAGGAATTATTTCACCCCTTCCCATCCATGGGCAGCTGTGCAGCCATCTCCAGCATGTAACAGTTACTTGGGAAGACAAACACCCTAACTCTGGACATCTCCCCTTTTCCTCCTCCTCCCCAAAGCTTTCTTTGCTGAGTGTGATGTTACATGGTGCAGGATGTCCCTTTGGTCCTGGGGTCCCCACTGTGTCCCCTCCCAACTCCTCGTGCACCCCCAGCTCGCTGGCGAGGTGAAGCGAGCAGCAGAAAAGGCCTTGGTGCTGTGTAAGCACTGCTCAGCTGTAACAAAAACATCCCTGTGTTATCAGCACTGTTTTCAGCACAGATCCAAAACACAGCCCTGTACCAGCCGCTGTGAGGAGAATTAACTCCATCCCAGCCAAAACCAGCACAGGGCTTCATAGGGAATGTCGAGTGTAGTGTCTGTTTAATGTTAATGCTCTTGTCCCTGTATTTTATTGTAGCTTTAAAGAAGCCACTGATTTCAGCTCCTAAAAGTGAAGGCCATCAACCCGTCATAAATCTTCCAACGGAACAGCCCCATGCTCCAAATCTGGCACCAGGTAAAGCTCTTGTTAGCAGGTGACAAGTCAAGAAGTTGTAGGGAAGTTACCATGTAACGTCTGCTGCCGTATCCCAAATGTCAGACGTGCAGGGCCAGGGCCTTTGTGTCTGATGTGGCCACAAAAAGGCAAACAAGGACCAGTTTCTGCAGGTCGCAAGGTTGAGCGTGGTTTTTCCTGGCCTCCTGAGGCTGCTGCCTGTACCATCTCCTCTCATCCCACACCCCCAGTGATTTCTGAGCCTTTTCACCAACTTCAGCCAAATGTGAGAGGTGGAAATTTCAGAGAGAAGTGCTTCAGGATTTCTGTATGGACAGAGGAGAGCAAGTGGAATGAAAGCTCCTTCTTAGGGGTGCTGCTTAGCCAGGGCTGCCATGCATCATCAGGAGCTGTCTTGATCTGCTGGTAGCAGTTTTACTCACAAAACAAACAGTGGTGCTATCGCTTGCTCAGTGTCCTCCTGTTTCTGGGAACAGCTTGAGGCTGATGTGGGGGAGGCTTTGGACAGGAGAGAACTGGAAGTGCTGCACTGAAAGGGTTTGGAAGAATTGCAGTTAGAAAGGACACAAATCCATTGAAAATAAATGTGCTGCCTGTGGATCAAGTGCCTTTGCTTTAATGTCAAAGAGAACGTTAGGTTATGTCTGCGCTGCGAGTGGCATATTCAAATGCTGTCCTAAAAACCATCCGATATCATCGTGTACTTGATCCGTGACCAAACAGCTCGAAGCTTTTTATGGCCGTTATTGGTTCTTTTGGAAAAAAAGGCGACAGAAGTATTTCTTGATTCCTGTCCTTGGCTGTGTGAGCAGATTAGAATACCAGAATTAGGGAGTTCAAAGGCTGCACGCACATCTAAAGCTCGTTATTTCCAAATGTCACATCGTTTAAGTGGTTTGTTTCTTTTTGCTGCTCTGAGGTAGTCCTTCATTTTGACTTTTATTAATGAGGAGACATAAAAGGTAGCACGTGGAAAGCTTGCTTCGTTGAATTCACAGTTCAGCCACAGAAGGTTGATGTGAATGTTGGGGGAGCAGGGATTTCGTAGTCCTGGGACTCTGCTTATTGTTTTTAGCATAACTTCTGTGAGCTCCCGCAGCCTCCCTCTGATCATAGCTCCTAAACAGCACGTGGTGCTTAGCAGGGCTGAAAAGCACAGTCAGCGGGAGGATAAAAAAACACGTAGACCTGTTATTGTCCTGGGCTTCAGCGGGCAGTTAAGCACATACAGAAAATCAGCTGAGAAGGTAACGGCTTAAGATTGATTACGTATTAAAATGTGATTAATTAACTGGCACCAACTGAACACGCTTCCTCGTCCCATAGGTTTGCACAGCGACAACGATGGAAACGCTGATATTGCGAAGCAGATACCTCCAAATTCGCTCCAGCGCTTAAATTTTGAAGAAAATCTGGAAAACGAGAGGGAACACCAGATTGAAACAGACCACATAAAAATTCCAAAGAGCAGAGTTAGTGACTTGCAGAAGATGAAGCAAAGTAAGTTAGCCAATGTATTAAGAAAATCACTTCATTTTCTGTAGTGGTGCCTGTCTGGAAAACTGGAACCATTACAGCCAGTGGCCTTCTGGAGATGTCATGTGTTGCTGGGTAAAGCATATGCCTTCACGTGTCATCGTTCATATATACATATATATACATATTCAGTCATGAAAACACATGACCTGCCTATAGGAATTGAAAATGTTTGGGGAAATGACTGCACATTGAAATAGATTGTGGAGACTTCTGCTGCACACGTGGTAGTTACATTCACGCTGTATTACTTGACTTCAGTGCGCTGTTCTGGACAATGTGGTGAGAGTTCAGCCCTTGCACTGGGAGTCTTTGTGCTGGTGTGTGTGGTGTGGCCAGGGGTTTGCTCTTGTGTGTGAGGAAGCTTTCCAGACCCTTCTCTTCCAGCTCTGCTCAGGGAGAGCGCTCAGGCAGGAGCAGTCGTGCGTGTTCACTGGGGGTGGTGGTGGCACCACTGCAGCAGGTGAGAGTGGGGACACACATCCCACTGCCCCAAACTGCTGCTTGAGATGCAGCTCTGCCCTGCAGCTGGTTCTGTAACACCAGGGAGCATCTGAGTTAGCATCTGCTATAGGAACAGTGCATGGAAACAGGTTTGGTATGGTACCAGTGGAGGCACCGCACTCTGAGGTGTTAGCCCAGACTAACCAGGCATACCTGAACCTCGTTGCTGCTAAGGAGCTAATTCCTGTTGTTCAGGAGAAGGTGAGGAAGGGGCGTTTGGAAGAAAAACCACAGTGCTGAAACATTTTTGGTTTTATCCAAATAAGATTTTTATCCTATGGGCATTACAAATTTAACTTTAAATTCTTTGTACTCGCAGCTAAGCAGCTTTCCCTTAGGCTTTGGTTTCTGTGGTTGAAATCTGTCTGTACTCTGAGGTACTGTGTCAGAACAGCCCATCTCCAGAGTCACAAAAACGGGAGGAAAAAGGGATTCCTGCCAGAAACCTGTGTTCATTCTGTGGCTTGGATAAATGGTGGCACAGAAATAGCAGTTTTGATGAAACAGAATCATGAGTTGGTTTAGTGATCAGTGTGAAGAATTCTGAAAGCTGGGGTCGCTCTTAGGAAGGTTTTAGTTTGGGGAGTTCCCTTTGCTCGAGTTAAGCTGTTGCTGGAAAGGTGAGGGGCTGCATTCTCAGTTGGAATGGGTCGTTACTGGTGGGTAAAGTGGATTTTTCAAGAGCAGGTTTACAAAGAGGCATCCTTTGCCTGGCACTGCTTGGTGCTGGCTGGTAACACTATTAGATGTGGCTTCAGCAGCATAAAGGTTTGTAACTGTGAAGTGTGCTGCAGCCAGGACTGGAGGACAGCACAGAGGAGGTGACACCAGCGAGGGAGCAGCTCGGTCACCAGCAAGTGGCTGAAGTGAGGTTTTTCTGCTGGGACGCGTTAATGTGAATGTCAAATAAGATACGGAGTGACTCTGCTTTAGCAAGTGCCTGTCAGGCCACGCTCTGGCTTTAAATGTCGTGATGGGAAGCTGGGAGGAATTCAGGGGAGATTAAAAAAATGATAGGGTTTAGTATTGGGGGGGAAATGAGCTGTAGAAAGACTGGAGCTGAAGAGGTGGAATGGACATCCGTTTACTGGGTGTTTTGGGCTTTGTTTTCCTCAGAAGCAGATCTCTAGGGAAGGCTTCAGTTGTTTGAATATCACTCCTGGATCTTTCTGATAGAGTAGTTGGGTGTATTCAAAATCAGCACACAACCTGTTCAAGCTTTTCTGCCACTCAGTGCATCCTGAGAGTTGCAGGAGTGCTTGGTTCATCAGGGGAGCTTCTCAAGGCTGCTGTGCTTGCCTGGCTGAGGGACACAGCTCCAGCCCTGAGTCATTGGGGTCTGCCCTGGGCATGGGTGAATGATGGGGGTTTGCAGGCAGGAGCAGCGACTGAGTATCTCCAGTGCAGGCTGTGAGTGGGTCCCCAAGGGTCAGCAGTGCTCACCGAGGAGTCTTTTCTCTTTGCTCCTTCATATTTGTACTATCACATTGCATTGCAGTGATGCGGTGAGGGAGAGACTTGATCCCGTGTGGAAGCAGCCGGTCCAGGTTTGCAGATCCGTTCGGGTTGATCAGCGGTGGTGCTGGTGATGAACTCACCCCTGTGGTGCAGCGGGGCCCAGCTTTCACATCCAGTTGTTGTTCCATAGCTTGTTTTATACGGACATGTGTGAACTGTACGGGTCTGTCTGCTTTATATATACAGCAGTGTCCAGAAATGCAAACAGTAAACGCCTCTCTCAGTCCATTTCCAGGCTGTAAAGGTTGCATCACACTGTAATCCCATTTTTCCCTCCAGACCTGTATCCCCTGCAGGCTCGGTGGGGCATTCCCTAAGCAATGGGCAGGCAGGGTGAGCTGTGTGAGCGGAGCAGCTCTCCCTGTGCCCCGTTGAACACCACTTGGCTTCACACCGTTCACCCTCAGCTGTGTGGTGCTCGACTGTCACTTCACGGCTCCAGCCAGCTCCCGTTTTTCCCATGCGTTATTTCAGTATCTGGGCCTATTCCTGGTGCTGTGGGAGACAAAACTCCTGGGTTCAGAGCATTTTGAGAACTGTTAAAGCCTAATAGGAAACCAGAGCGCAAAGCCAAATTGACCAGGGAGTTAAAAGCTCTGTTCAGAGACGCAGGGCAGCCCTTTGCTGGATTTTTAGCCCCGACTGCGGTACCGGCTCTGCAGCCACCACCGGGTACGAAGGCAGCAATGGGTTGCTCTGCTGTGGGTAGAAAAGTGCCCGTTCTCGCGAAAGGAGTCAAGATACAAACCCCTGCACTGTTGCTCTGCAGCATTACAGAAAACTTTGGTGTCTGCAGGTGATCAGAGCCGGAGCTCTCAGATCAGCACCCCTGGGGCAGGGGGGTGTCCCCCCGCCGCCCCCTTTCTCCTGCAGCTGAAGCTCCCCTTAACCCGCGCTCCGCTCTCGGTTACAGCCGTCCTGGTTCTGTCCTCTCTGCTTCTGACTTATCCTTTGCCTACTCCGCAGGCCGATTCTTTGATGAGAACGAGTCCCCTGTGGACCCGCAGCAGGGCTCTAAACTGGCAGATTATAATGGGGATGATGGGAACGTGGGGGAGTACGAGGCAGACAAACAGGCCGAGCTGGCTTACAATGAGGAAGAGGATGGTGATGGTGGAGAAGAAGACGTCCAAGGTGAGCTTGGGCCTTGTCTCCATCCCGTTGTCGTGACATCCACGCCGAGTCCACCTGTTGAATTTGTGTAAAGCCTCGCTGATCAGAAATGTCTGGTACAGAACAAAGCAGCTGTAGGCAGCCTCTGCCGCTGGGTCTTGCTCTCCGTCTGAAAGCAGCGTGACGGCACACGGCAGCGATTGGATTCTGATGCCTCATTTCAGTCCTGCTGGGAGAGCGAGGCGCTTCAAATTGCAGAAATGCTTTCGCCCAGGCCCAGACGCCGTGTCTGGCAAGTTGGGATGCAGCCTTCGGCATCACTAAAGCAAATCTGAACACAGAGGCGTGGGGTTTTGCCCATCCTTGGGGATGCAGCGATCCCGGGTGTGATTCGGGCGCGCTGTACACAGATTCAACAGGCTCTCCTCCCCCGCTAACCAAACTCATTAAGCTCATTAACGGGGTGCATGCTCACGCCTCTGGCTCTGCCCTCACCTCCATCGCTCGTCTGCCTTCTGTGCCAGCCTCCATCGGCGCTGGGTGACGCGGGTGAAGGGCTCTTGTGTCTGCAGGGCTGTGGTTCCACAGACTCACGGCATTCCCAGGGAGGGGACGTGCAGAACGAAGAGGGGAGAAAAACCCCAAACGATTGAAGTTCTACAGGTGCCCTGATTTTGATCCTCAGACAGCAAGTTTTCTAGCTGGTGGTTTTTTAGACGTGTTTAATTGGTATCCGAGCGTAATTAATGGGAAAAGTTGATGAAAAGCAACTGATTTCTGTGGGCACGCATCTGAGTGTGCAGCCTAAGCATTTTTTGGCCGGGCTGGTTTGAAACTCGTGACCAAGCGAAAGAAAAGTATGGATCCAAACCCTGGGCAATTAATTAATTACTGATAAAAACAAACACTGCTGCTGCTCCACCTCTGCTCACAGCACCCCGGGTGCTGGTGCCTGTTCCTGTGGGTGGGCTGTTACCGGGCTGTGATTTGCTTGTACGAGCTGGTGTCCAAACACAGGTACGGGGTGCACAAAGCTGTGTCTGATGCTGGGAGGGAGGGGTTTGCTTTTAGGGATCCTCACCTCGTGAAAGGCAAACCCTGCACGGTGGTGCAGGCCCTCACAGCTCCGCGCTGCTTTGCTTCTCAACACAACGTGTGCGGGGGCACTGCCAGTGGTGTGCACTGCGCTCCCGTGTGCCGCGTACCAAAGGGTGGTGGAAGTTGGTGACAGAGATGGTGCTTACGTAGCTTGTTCTGCGAGGGATGTGTGGAGGAGTGAGAGCTCGGGCTGAAAGTGGCCTCCTGAAAGCGTTTCCCATTGCAGTGTGGGGCTGTTGGTTCACTGCTCTGGTGGCTTTAGCTCTGGACTTGGTAAAAACCCGTGTTTTCTGTCAGCCCTGCTGTGCCTCTGCGTGGACATCGCAGCTGCAAAGAGCAGCTCCTGGAGCCTGCTCACGAGGAGCGGCTGCGCTTCCCAAGCCCTTTGTGGTGCTGTTCCCCCGGACCTGGGCTGGAGCTGCTGCACGTCACCGTGTGGCGTTTGAGAATAAAGAGCCTGCTTTGGTCTTCACGCTGATTTGTTTGCAGGGCAGGAGAGGGTAGAACCAGGGTTTGGGGAGGGTGGTTATGATTGATTAGGGAGGGAAAAAAGTGAATTTCTGTCTAGAAACTCTTAGGAAAACATCACCTGGTTCTGCATCGGGCTGGAACAGAGCACATGGCGTGTGCAGACACAGCAGTTCGGTTGAACCTGGTTTTCTGTTGCCACTAGAAATGAGTGGGCCCGAGATTGAGATTATCGGAGGAAAATGCCCAGATGTGGGAGATGGGCTCATGTGCACCTCAGTGCCCCATCCGGCGCCGCTTCCTCCGGTTGCTTGAAGTGCAGGGGTGTTTCGCAGGGGTGTTTCACAGGGGTCGGTGTGGTGGTGGCTGACGGGAGGACTGCAGAGCCCTGGCCATGGGCTGGTGCTTTCTGACCCGCGGTGACAAACCAACAAACCTCAGTGACCGAGGGGCTCGCCAGGACCCGGGGAACCGAAGCTGCTCTGCATCCCTGGGAGCAGGCGGCTTCCCTTGGAAACGCAGGAGGAGCTCACGAGTTGAAACGAGCGGCAGTTTTAGGGCTTCTCCCTTGAGAGGAGGCTGGGACCCTCACAGGAGAGGTTGAGCGATGGCAGAGTGCACAATATTGCGGTGAATTTTAAACCACCGCTTGACAAACACACCGAACGTGCATCTACTTGAGGGCTTTGTGCGCTGCGGGGAAGGGTTACCCTGAGGATGCACACGTTTTAATTTTATGACTTTTATGACTCCAAAGCCCAAGGAGTCGAAGCCAAGCAGCAGCACAGAGGAGAGAGGTGGGGTGAGACATCGCCACTGCCCCAGCCCAGGACAAGGCTGGAAACCACTGTAAGGACCACCCGAGCGCAGCACTCGGGGAGAGCAGCGATTGCTGTGGGTGAGAGGATGGAAAAGGCCGAGAGCTTTAGCTTTTTTTTAAGTCTCTTCAGATCTTACCTTCAAGTCTGAGAAGGTAAATCCCATCACTGCAAAATGCACTGCGCTGTGTTGGTGTAAGGGATCAGCTCTCAAATGTGTGAAGGAGGTGGAAGCAGCGTTACCGTAGTCTGGCAGGGGCTGTGCTCGCTTCTCTGTCCCATGAGGTACCCAGCCTTGTGAAATCTTACAGTATGGTGACCCCAGAATGGGTTGATAAACGGCTCTCCAGAGTAGCTGGGTTTCAGTGGGAGATCTGAAGCCTGCTCTGGGATGAGGCACCTGAGTTGTGCCATCCTAACGCGGCCGCAGTGAAGGCAGAGCTCTTAGGGGTGTGAGGTCCCAGCCCCTCGCCAGGGCCGGCCCCGCGGGCGCTGCTCTCCCCGTTCCCCAGGCCGGCTCGCTGTGTCCTGACGGATGGCTCAGTGGTTTCAGCAGCATCACACCAGATTTGATCTGTTCTCATTGCAGATGATGAGGAGAGAGACCTGCAGAACGACCTGGTGGATTACGGCAAACCGCGCTTCAGCGACGGCGTCCTGTGAGCCCTGGACGGGAAGGGATCTCCACTGAGGAACCCAGGTGCTGCAAACCCCAACCGTTTTCCCTCAGCGCCGCTGGCGTTGGGGGAAGGCGACGATGATACAAGCGCTGAGGAGCCGCAGTACAGAGGGGTACACGTGTACATAGTTGTACTATTGCAGACTGTATCAAAACCACATTTTCGATGTTCCATTGAGCCAGTTAGACTGTACCTTACCTGTAATAATCTTTACATTGAGAACCGGCGTTATAAATACGGGCTGAACTGTTTCTGCAACTTAGAAACCTTTGTAAACTGGAGAACTTGTACAGTTTGTATCTCATGGGACAAATCCCTGGAAGCAGTGTACAGCCAAAGGACTCCTTTTCTACGGCAATGCCTGTCCCAGCAAAACTCCCTGCTTCTCTCCGGGCGCTGTGGGTTTGTGTTTCGCAGGTGAGCGATCGGTCGAGACCAAAATCGCGTATTTAAATAATCGCTCCTTCCTTAACGTAGCTGAGGAAAGACTGTGACGGCCTCGGGAACCCCGCACCCCTGTACTGCGTACCCAGCCACCCAGACCTCGTAGCTAGAGCTGGAAATCGGCGACGGTAGAACTCCATTTGATAAATCCTGAAAAGGTGTGTGATTAATAGTTGATTAAGGGTGATATAAATAACTGAGCACAGCTCGTAGGCGATCTTTGTGTAGCGTTACAGAGAGCCCACGTGGGGCTGAGGAGCAGCCGAGTCCCTGTCAGCGCGGTGGGAGCCTCCTGGGAAGGGTAGAGGTGCTGCTGTGTGCGCCCTGTTCCCAGCTCAGCACCCATCCCGTGTCGCTATCACTCAGTTAATTTACAGTTTAATACTCTGATCCACGTCTCCGCTGCCTGCCGTGTCCCAGGGCTTGGTTTGTAAGTCAGCTGCTGTTTGTATCCCGTGTTCAGGCACTTTGAGTTGTGAGGACGTGGCTCTGTTGATCTCCAGGAGTGGAAATTCAGTTATTGGCCCAGACTGGGAGAGGAATTGGCAGCCCCATGGCACGGGGTCTGTGCTTCATCCCCGCACTCGGGGACAGGTTGGAGTCACCGTCAAGGCTCACTCGATGCCAACTCTGAACCCTTTCAGTACGTTTCAACGGCCACACCATTTGGGTTTTTGCTACAGGGCTCTTCTGCCAATCAGTCCTAAACGTGTCCGAAATAAACATTGCAGGTTTTGGCCACGCATCCCGAGTTCTGTTTGGGTTTTTCTGTTCAGGGCTGGAGCTCTTCCCCCCACACCTCTGTGTGGTGTCCTTGCAGTGCAGAACAGCGCTGGGCGCCCCAGCACCACAGCCAGAGTGACTGGTGCCAGGGCTCTACCAGCAGCAAGGGGGGTGTGTGAGCACTACCACTTCTTGTTTGCCCTGAAATGTAATTTCACCCCGAATGTGGAGTTAACTTGATTCTTCTGATGAGAGCAACACTTATGGGTTCTAATAAATCAAGTTGTTTAAAGGATGGGGCACTCCTGGCTTTCTTTTTTCTTTTGCTATATAATCAGATTTTATTTTAGCTGCTTCTAGAATATGAAACCATTTGGTGTGATTTCTTTTGTACAACTGTGGTGCTTTTGAACAAAACAGCCCGAACCCACCTCTTTTATACCCAAAAATGAATGTTGTGCAGCGCTCGGGGATGGGTTTGGTGCAGTCACGATCCAGAGTGGGGTGATCCGTGAGTGAGGGATTTTCCTGGATCCTGGTTACTTCTGCATCTGACACAGAATGACACCATTGGCATTTCTGGGCAAGATCATTGGATATCAGATGCTGGGAAATGGGATTTTATCACTGCAGTCCTGCTGTACTACAGTATATGTAGTTTTATCATTATACTCTTGCTGTTACTACACGTCATTTCCTGTTCAGTGTAACTTTTGCTGCTGTTTTCCTGTGTGCTGCAGGCTGTCCCTGTGCATCCCACAGCCCCACGTTCAGTCCCTTTAGGTCTAAGGATGGTAACAATTAAACCAACCTTCATCCTGGCTTTCACACAATCACAGAATTGCTCGGTTGGAAAAGCCCTCTGAGATCATCCCGTCCAACCGCTCCTGTCTACCCCCTAAACCATATCCCTAAGTACCTCGTCTACCCGCTCTTTAAACACATCCAGGGATGGTGACTCCACCACCTCCCTGGGCAGCCTGTGCCAGCTTCTGACGACCCTCTCAGTAAAGAACTTCCTCCTTATCTCTGACCTGAACCTCCCTTGGCACAGCTTGGTGCCGTTTCCCCTTGTTCTATCCCCCATCACCTGGGAGAAGAGCCCAGCACCCACCTCTCTACAAGCTCCCTTGAGGCAGTTGTAGGTGGTGATGAGGTCTCCCCTCAGCCTTCTCTTCTCCAGGCTGAACAAGCCCAGTTCCCTCAGCCGCTCCTCATCAGGCTTGTTCTCCAGAGCCCTCCCCATCCTTGTGGCTCTTCTTTCAATGCCTTGCACCCGTTAACTGCCACTTTGGCTACCACACGTACCGCACCCAGAGGTGAAAATTGGTTGATGAGAGAAATGAGTGGTTTTCAGGGTATTTGGAGATGGGAAATGGGAAGAGCCCGGTCCAGATCTGGCTCACCTGGTCTCAACCTGGACCACGCACTCCTTGGGCTCTTCTGTGCTGTGCCTGGAGAAATTAACGAGGTTTATGGATTACTTCATCCTCAGCTCCCTTGGAAACGTGCAGGGAGACCCCAGCAGCAAAGGGACCCACGAGCTGCGGGGCTCTGGTTTGAGAGAAAGCTGACTGAAGCACGGGCCGTGTAGACACAGCGCGATCCTGGTGGGTCTCCTTTTAAGGACTCCGAGTTGGGTCACCACGCACTTTCCCTTCGTTATTTGGTGATCCAATCTTGAAAGAATTTCACTTCTAAGGGGAATCGTTCTGTCAAACAAATTCCACTTTAGTTAAAAAATAAAGGGCTGTTGTTTTGGGGCACTGCCAGCGGTTTCAGAGCGCTGGTCCACACTTTAATTTTGAATGCTGGGGTCTGGCTGTAAGGAGGCTGCTCCTAAAGCCGATGTCCCCACGGGCCAAGAGAGTAGCCCCCAAAAAATGGGGCTTGCTCCATTTCCGCGTGCTGCTGAAGATGACAAACACACATCACCCGTGCTGCTTTCTGGCTTTGCTTTCACACGCTGACCAAAGCACCTAATAAACGCACCTGACCAAGTTCCAGCAAGCACCAGCTCACTTCTCAAAGCAGTGACTTGAACCATCGATCCCTGACGTGCTCAGGAGGCGGGCGCTGCTCAGCACCACCAGGGGTGTGCACCAGCAGGAAAATACAACCAACCCGACCTGTCTCGATGCCGTTTTCCAGCTGTAATCCCGCATCCCTGAGCCGTTTCTGTGCAGCCTGGACCTGTTGCCACGGCAACCACAGCTCCCCCAGTGCTGATGGATTTCAGCATCCGCTTCCCCACAGCCGCCAGCACCCACCCGGCTCTCGCGTTCGGGGGAACCGGGTTACGGGAACCCAGGACCAAAACCCTGTTGTCTCTTATCCCATTTCAGACCCTTTGGAGAGCCTCAGTCCACCCCATGGGTCTGCACGGCCGAGCGCTCAGCAATGGGGGAATTGGGTGAAGATGAGCGCCCGCTCCCACAGCCAAACTCCCGGCCACAGCAGCAGGAAAAAGCCGGTATTTAATCTGAATTCAAACTGGATTTGTCAGCCAGCCAGGAGCACCGCCCTTCTAGAAGCCACGGCAGCTGAATTTCAATGTAATTCTTTAAACTGAAAACACCTATTTACTCACTTATGTTTCTGGATTAACTTGTGAGACAGCGGTGGCCAACAGCTCCATTCTTTCTTATGGACATCCCGTATTTTAAAGTGAAAAGCATTGAATTTTTACAAGGCTGAATAAACCGGCACATCTGGGGTAAAGAGGAGCTTTGCTGATGAGCCCCGCTGTCTCAGCAGGCAGGGCTGGCAGCACGAGCTCTCCAGGCACTGTTTCCCCTGCTGATCATCTCCATAGAGAACTTGGGAAATCGGGCATCCTTCATAGCCTCCATCCCGCAGGAAGAGAGGCACGAGGAGGATTTCTCCTCTGAATTTGTACAAACATTGGGAGGTTTTCCATGTACCTCCACCCTCTTCTACTTCTGTGGCCACCTCAACAGCAGCCAACAGCAAAGCCCAGATCCTGGCACCCAGAGCAACAGGGTAATTAAAAATATAATGCAGGGCTATTGGCAGAACACGCATTGAGAATTATCTGCATTTAAACATGGCGCTCTCTCCCAATTTCTTAATTAATAACAACACTTGGCAGCTTCCAAGCACGGTACAAGTATAAACCAACTGACACTTAACAACTGTGTGGCAAGTCAAGGAAAACACTGAATTCCTCAAACACGAGAGCTGATACCCTATCAAAGACCAGGAAAACTCTTGCAGTTGTCCCGTTTCCTACAGATTTCAAGTGCAAACTTACACAAGAACAAAACACCTCTGCAGTCTGCACGAATAACCAAACTTTCAGACCCCAGATTACAAAAGGCTGTACTTTAAAAGCACTCCCAAGTCCACGTAAGTGAGTGCTGTGATGCCAAAAACATCTTGCCCAAGGTTAAACTGAGAAAATACCTCTTCCTGCGTCATTTCTGATCAGCGGTGATTGCAGAGCTCTGTGTTATGCCCAGCCCTGAAGAAACACGGGCACACAAATGGGATGGGAGCTTCCACAGCTCATGGGACTCGGCTTGGTCCAGGGAGTCCCAACTGGCCAACGCTGTTGGTTTTCAGGCTCTGCCAAAGCTTTCTTGAAGCTACCAAAGCTGATGAGCCTATTTCAGTTTACACATCAGGAAAACCAAGCAGACTGATGGGCAGCATCTCAGCAAAAGGTAAAAACCAGCTCTGTATGAAACAAATTTAACAGTCAGCAAGAGCATCCTGCTTAAAATACTTTGACAAGAGGAAAACAGGTACCAAAGAACTGCTGGTGTATGTATTTTATTAGTGTTATCATTTCAT